TTTTATGTTGTCTGAACCGGAAGTGAGATGCCCTATATCAATCAGACATAGCTTGATGTGGAAACATGGAAAACATATATACAAAAAGATCAATTAATCATTGAAATAATTTTTTCATTGTTATCAGCGTGTTGGAAAAATTCGAGAAGTTTTCGTTTTGCTGTCGTATTGATCAGTATGTAAATTCTACTTTCACTTTCAAATAACTTCGAGCATATTCCTAAGAACTATCTTTATACTACATCCTACACTTGTAGCTAACGATATCGTAATGTTACAGTCAATAGGATGAAAGAAGTGATATTAATTGTCATGATTTACCTAAGTTGTGTAACATTTTGTCCCGTAAGCGTAAAAATATTTTGCCGCACTATGTCAATTACGATCACGTTACAATCACATGCCTCGCAAGTCGTGCGGTGAAATCAACTTGCAAAGAAACAATAACAATTGAAAACACAAAATATTCCCTTTTTAACAATAATCAAACATTGTAATTTAACGAAAATGGTGTAAATTGTAAATAAAGCAGCCATCGTAAATTGTTTACGACAACAACGTAAACTTTGGATCGATTTCCGGCACCATGTTGTCGGGGCGGTATGTCCCAAATTTGACTTTTTTTCAACGGATGCAATGAAGAACCTATTGCTTCAATGATTAAAAAAAACACACGTCTTCCTTCTGAAGTAATATTTTCATTGAAATCCGCATGATTTTCTCACATGACATGTCAAGGTAACCTTGAATATTTGTGAAAGGCGTGCATGTTTTCTTGTCGGAATTTGTGTTCGGTGTGCCTAATTATTTTAATTTTATATATACAGTCCTATAGCAATTAACTGCACCTCATGCTTTGTTAAGACTAATATGTATGACCTGCAAGCTGTAGTCGATCTATTGTTTTCGGCTGACTGGGGTGAAGCGAGATGTGAAAAATTTACCTTGAGTGGACAGATGATTACCTAGGGCGATGTACAGTTAGCCGGACCTATTGTGTAATTGTCCAGGTGTTTTACATGGACAACTTACTTGACTTTTTACCTTATAAAATCCATTCACGGCAGAAAAAAAAATCATAATAAGTAGGGTCCTACCTTTGACCATATCATAATAAACATTATTGTTTTGCTTAGTTAAAGAAGGAAAAAAATCGGTACATGGGAAAAATATAATAACAGATACTGTAAAAACCAATGCGCACTTTTTTTTCAGAAATTTAATACTCAAAGTGGGGGGGTGCGTAAAATACACAGGTATAGAAAAATTCAAGTATTTTTCTGGAAAAGATCGACGATTCTGAGAGATCGCTATCTTGGATTATGTCCCTTGGTACACGGAACTCTAAGACAAATGACGATCAACAAATTTATTTATGTCAAACATTAATAAAAGATACATAATGTGTTGTTATGTGAGTTTATGTGAAAAGTATTAATAAATAGATAACCGTTAACAAAAAAAGTTTAGCCAAATTCCTATGCCAGAAAATCGCCGATCAACTTACGACATTACGTTTCGACATCTCGGTGTGTTTCCCCATACTATTACGAAAATGTTGTTGTTTAATTTAAGCTCCGTTCTATGTAAGTTCTGTAAGTTTTTTCAAATCGCCTATGCGTATACGTATAGCGTGGTTTTTTAGCTCACCTGGCACGAAGTGCCAAGTGAGCTTATGCCGTGGCGCGGCGTCCGTCGTCTGTCGTCCGTCCGTCGGTCCTCGTCCGTCAACTTTTCCTTTAAACAACTTCTTCTGAAGAACAGACAGGCCTAGAGTCATGATATTTGGCTGAAAGCTTCGTTGGTAGGAGCCCTACAAAGTTTGAGAACGAAAATGACCTTGACCTGTTTTCAAGGTCACAGGGGTCAAATATGTCAAAAACTTCAAACGACTTCTTCTGAAGAACTAAAAGGTATAGAATCTTCATATTTGGCTGATGGCTTCCTGGGAT